TAAAGCGAATCTTAAACTTTCAGGCACCCCCACAGAAGGTGTTCCATGGGAAGATTTGGCCTGCAGGAAATTGTGGCTATCAGAAACTCCCCTTTTGTTTGTTTTTCTTTTTTCCCCCCAATTATGTTTAATTAGCTGCTACTTATGAAGCATGCCCCGTGTGTTCTAAGCCTAAAGGTCCTGAGTGAGTGATGGTAAATGGCATGTACTTATATAGCGCATTTATTCAAGTCAGGAGACCTGAATAAAGGCTCTTTACACTACATTCATTCACCCATTCACGCACGCACACTCTTACTCACTGATGGTGGCAAGCTACATTGTAGCCACAGCTGCCCTGGGGCTCAATGACAGAAGCAGGGCTGCTGTACACTGGTGCCACCGGGCCCTCTGACCACCATCAGTAGACAATGCAGGTGAAGTGTCTTACCCAAGGACACAACAACACTGAAAGTCGGAGTCGGGGCTTGAACCGTCAATCCTTCGATTTCAGGGCAAACTCCTACATCCAACGCCAGTGTCGAATGACGATAAAACCTGCAATCTTTTCCTCTCATACTCACGTTGTTAGGTTTGGTTTTTGGACTCTTGCTCTTTACTTCAGTCATGCTGTTGTTTGCTGTGGTTCCCTCCAACTCATCTGCCTCGAACTCAAACTGCACTTGGATCTTCTTCTTCTTCTTTATTTTTGCCTTTTTCTCAGGAGACCTGATTATTTCAGCTTCTGCCGCTGGCTTCTCTTGATCTGCGCTGCCGTTTCCAACTTCATCCAGCTGGTCAGCTCCACATATGGGGCTCTTTCTTTTTTTCTGCAGTCGTTTCATTGTTGCGGCATCCATCGGAGTATTTTCTGACCCTTCAGTCATCTTTTTTCCTTTCAGGTTCTTCTTCCCTTTCCGTGGCGTTGGAGTGGTCTCCCCTGCAGGTCTGGACTCAGAACCTGTCTGCTGGATTTCATCAGTGTTGACTTCTTGCTTGCCCTTTTTCTTTGTAATCTTTTTATGTTGCGCGCTAGATGTGATTTCCCCAGCAGAGTTTTCCGATCTGGCCCCGTCTGTGTGAGCCACAACTTTATGCTCTTCTTTCATCTTCTGAATCTTCTTCTTGGCCGAAATTGGAGTCTCAGCTCTTAGTTCGGGCATTAGATCATGTACTGGAGCTTCATTAGGACCTGATTGTTGGACTTCCTTGCCCTCAGCCTTCCGATGCTTCTTTTTGTTCTTGGCAGGAGTTTGAGCTCTTTCCTCAGCTGATGCTACAGGACTTTCTGTGGGCAGTGAATCATCAGCAGATACGCTCTGTGCTTTAGCTTCAGCTTTCTGGCCCTTCTTTGTGTTTTTCTTCTTCCCAGATGCTGGAGCTAAAGTGTCAGAGGAAGTATCCAATGTAGCAGTTTGCTGTACCTCCTCCCCCTCCGTTAACACAGCATCAGAGATGCCATTGAGTCCCTTCTCTGTTTTCGGCTGATTCTCAACAGTCTTGCATAACGTTGGTTGGAGTCTCCTCTTATCTAAGGGCTGGGCCTCCGAACACTGCAGAGATTTTGCGTCTTCAGCCCCTGCTTTCTTCTTCTTTTTCTTTTTGTTCATCTTTTCATCATTAACAGGTACCTCATCTGCAGGTTCCATGGTGTCACTTTGTCCGTCTGGTTCCTTCTTTTTTCCATCTGAAAAAGGAAAATCGTGAATACTTCATGAGGGGATGAGGTTGTTCAAGCTTATGACAAAACAGAATAAGTAATCATGAAGTCACTGTTGTTAAAATGTAACCAAGCTTTTAGCTAGCAGCGTGTACAGGTGTAGATTGTGCGTCCTTCACTAAAAATATTAGAAATTGTACGCCCTGCTTTTGGAATGTACCTCTTTGGTACCTTTACTACTGAGAGCAGCGCACCTGTAGCCACCTGTTAGCTTTATACATTAGCCAGACAAACAGGACCTGGTAGTGTTGGTTTTTCAAAATAAAGTAAATTTTAACATTATGACTTTTAAATTAATTTAAAACTCTTATTATTACTAGAGTAAGTAAGCAAATATAGGATATGCATGATCAGGGGTGGGCAATTTGAGTTCCTGAGGGTCGGTTTCCTGCAACTTTTAGATGTGCATTTGGGTCGACACATCTGAATCAAATAATTAGATGATTGAGAGGACGCTGGAGGAACTGACTGCATGCTAAGGAGTTAACTCAGCTATTTGATTCAGGCATGTGGAACCAAGGATGAATCTAAATGTTGCAGGATACTGGCCCTCATGAACTGGATTAGCCCACACCTGTGCTTACCATTTTTTAATGCATTCTGCAGGTATGATTTTGCTTTGGCGGTGCACAACGACCAATTACATGTAGCTGCACCCTGCTAGTGGACAAATATTTTCATCAAGGTCACCTGGACTATTCTACACAGAGCAGAGCTCAGTTTATGGTAATATAAAAGCCTAATTTCTCTTATTAAAAAAAGGCCTAATTCTCACTCCGTCCAGCTCGTTTTAGATGCATCTCTGCTGCACCAAACCTGCAGAATATTTGCATTCCTTCCTAAGCAGCCTTCAGGGCTGCAGAAGCCTGTCAGTCACTCATACATTCAAGTCAGGGGTGAGGAGGCAGAGAAACATCTAAAACATGCAGTACAGTGAGTCCTAAAGGCCAAGTTTATGTATATATATATATTAGGGATGGAACGGTTTATGAAAATC